TGCTTGGTGGGAAGTGTCGCAGAGGGTGGAGTTCTGAATCAAAAGACCTTGTGGCATGGGAAAAGTAAAGTCTGAGTAGCAGAGAGTAGCTTGCCTGTGCAGAGGGTTTTATGTGAGAGGAAGGGGGAGAAAGAAGGGGTTTCTGGCGGAAAACTGTAATCTCTGATCCTTTCAGGGAGTCAGTGAGACATATGGAACAAACTCCTGACCTCCTGCTGCTACAGCACCGACTGCTGCTGTAAACTGCTGCTGTGAACCTTGCTCCGACCCTGCCATGAGACCCACCTCTCTTCATTGGAAGGAATGGGGGACGGGGAGGGGGGAAACTGAGAAAGGGACCTTCTTCACTACTCCTCACTACTTTAGCTGACTGGAGCCAACCCCCAGAGAGAAGAACTGGGTCTGCTCCTTGTCTGCTGTCTCTCCAGGTTAATTGCACTAAGCACCTAGGGCAAATTGTGCTTTCTATGTACCAGCTAAGCCTGGGACAGGGACTGCTCCAACATTGTTATTTTGACAGTCCTCTGGTAGCAGAGAGCACAGGGTAACAGGCCCAGACTCTTCCTTACAATGAACATGGCCCCTGCCAGGTGTTGCCTGACCTTGGGAGAGCAGCTCCTTGCTGTTGTCAAGTCACTCTTCTTCGCCCTGAAGGACTGTGATGCTTAGCTGAGCCTGTGCCTACTATTTAATTGTGTCTCCAAGCTCCAGTGGCCACAGACAGAGACAAAGCAGTGTCTAGTTCCATTGTGCTATGGGAAATGGCTTACTAGTTACAGAAATTTTTTTTTCTGTTTTGTCTAATTTTTATGGTACTACTTTAAAATTTACTTTCTTTTTAATAAAATATTACCCTCTCTCAGCCCTCTTAACACCCTGCAAGCTGAGTTTTCCTTATTTATTTTTCCCCAGGGCCTGTGAAGCTTAGGGTCAGTGAACTGTTTTCATTTCACACAGAAACCAAGCGTTAACTGGAGAGCCATCAAAGCCAGTGCTGCTTTGCCTCTTGAGTCTCTCAGTAAGAGTGCTGCTGAAACTACAGCTTCTGCTCTACCTTGGCTCTCCTAACTTGAAAGTTAGAGGCCAGGGTGGCTTGGCCTAGCACGGCCTTAGCCAAACACTAGTACCAGCTGCTCAGAAGAGCAGATCTCATTCCTTGGCGTACCTCCCGAGCTTTTCACCATCACACCCAGATCCTGTATCTGGGCCTCTGCATTTAATGGGTTTACACAACTTGATTTAAGTGACTTTGTCGGGTTTTATCTTCACATGGCCTTGAGCATCTCTAGTGATCATGCTGGCATGCAAGGTACAGCTCTTTCCTTTCTCTGAACCTTTCTAGTGTTACAGAGCCCTGGGACTTATTCCATAACTCCAGCATCTTGGCTTGGGCTGTGATGCCTTTTTCCAGCAGCACAGTGGATTTGCTGCAGCACTATGGGTTTGTTTTTATTTGCCTGCTGCTGCTGAGTCCCAACTCAAATGGTGCCTTTCCAAGAGTCGGCGCTCCAGTCTGTGCATGCAAGTGGCTCGGTTTGGATTATGCCATGGCTAGAGCCACTGAGGTCTTGTCCTAGCCCAAGATGCCCAGTAACGGTAGAGCACCAGACTTCTCTAACATAGGAAGGTGCTTTCAGACTCCTTTTCCAACAAGCCAACTGTCATAGGTTGATAAAGACCAGTCAAACAGGATAATGGTTCCACTTGATCAACTAACTCTGGGTTTGGTTGCATGTCATTTATTTCAACTTGTACAGAGAAGCTTGAACAGCTGTGTGGAAAAACACTTAGTTGTTGGTTTTGTTTTTGTTTGTTTTTTTTTTCTCTTCTTAGGTATTATAATTTAAAAGTGGTAAATACACAGTATTTAAACTTGATACACCTGATAAAGTTAAATGCTTAATAAAGGGGTAGGAATGAGACACAAGCCTTTGTCATTAAACAAACAGTATAAAAATCATCGATAGTTGAGGACCTTAGAAAAGAAACATCAATTGCCTGATAGGTAAGAGGGGACCACCAAGAAAAACTACTCGGACAAGAGGTCTGGTTTCCCCTTAGCACTTTCCTGTGTGCTTTCAGAGCCAAAAAGGCTTAGTACCCAGCATTAAGCCTACAGTCAGCACTGGGCTTGCTTGAAAGGAAGGGAGTTGGGGAAATCAAGATATAACCCAGTTCCAAGGCACAAGCAAAATGTTTACTTCGCTATAAGAGAAAAGCTAGCTTTACTACTAAGGAACAGCAGCTAGGGAACTGAGCAGATTTATATATACAGTACAGCTTCTCTAACAGGTCATGCATTTGGCTAGATCTTCCTCACACAGCCACACTTTATGCTTTCAACAGAACTAATCAAGAAGAAAAAAAAAATCTACATCGAGTTTCTTTCAGAAATGTGCATTTGGCTGCAGCCCTGCCAGACCTGGCCCTAAGAGACAATAATTTTGGAGGGCACCTTAGGGAAGTGCTGAGCTTTTAGGATCTTTATGAACCAAGCCCGTGCTAGCCAGAAGACACTGATCTGTGGTAATATCTGAGGTCCAGTGACTATGTGGCTGCGCATCAAGGAACTGGTACAGCTTATTCTGTTTAAAAGCTGCGTTGCACCTGGCAAGCCTGTTTGGTAAACGTAAGCTGTCTCGCTAGGCACCTGACAAATCACAAAGTGGAGCTACGCAACACAGAGCATCTCTACAACTCACCTTTAACAAAAACACACCACGCATATTACTATGCACGAGCTACAAATAATCAGAGCCCTTATTTTTTTTTTTTAGGGTTTTTTTTGTTGTTGTTTTTTTTTTTGGCAGAACAAGTCCATTTACAGGGTTAGAGAACTAAGCTGCCCACTCACACGCCTTTCTGCAATGAAAAGTCCCATTCAGGACAGGGGGAGCAGGCAGCTGTAGTAGTGCTGGCACCCAAGTTACCTGTTTGGTTTTCCCATAGCTGAAGCTGCAGGGCTTTGGCATAGCCTCGGAGGAAAACAGTGCGTGTCTTATGGCTCCAGACTCCATAGTACTGCTCCTAAACCATGAACTGTCATCACTGGCTTTGGAGAGAGGCCAACAGCACAATGTTTCAGTAATAAATTGCAATTTAGGGGGAGTATTGCTTCAAGTGACCAAAAGATGTAAGGGACAGTTTGTGTAGGCACCTGCGCACTTGCTAACACTGTCCTGGCTTTAACAAAGACCTATCCTAAACAGGAATTACTGGGCCAGGTCCAACTGCAGCGGGGCCAAGGACCTTGGCGTGCTGCTGCTGTTGTGCCCAAGATCAAGGAAGACAAGGGGACGGTTACTTCCTAAAGGCAGGGCACCTGTGGCCAGGGTTAGCAGGCAGAGATCTTACCGTTAATCAAAATACTTGGGTCTTTCCTACCGCCTTCTTCCTCAGGGCAAAGAATTACAGCTTAGCCCTCCCTTACATGCTTGGGACATTGGAATCCTCCTCCTGTTTCAAGTACACCATCATTTTTAATGCCTCATTCAAGGTCACACAACCACAGCAGACTGAGAAGAGGTCAGACCTTTTCCTCCCCAGTCCCACGCTCCATTCACAAAACAACTGTACTTACCGTGACCCTTTTCCTCAAGCAAACCCTGACTCTTCTCCAGCTCACCCACACTCTGCCGTTCTCCAGCTTTGTCTGAGCACAGAGAACTTGGGAAAGTGAGTCTGGGCACCAGTCTCTCCCACCACACAATGGATTATTATTTTTTACAAGCACCACAAAATAATCAGAGTAATCTGACTGAAGGTTAAAGAGCTCTTCATAAGAAACAATCCGGGAATTAGGCATACACTTAATTTACTAACAAGCCTCTGATCCACAGGCATTCACAAATTACTGGTAACAAACTTGCAAAAAATACATAGCATTGGCCCCAAAATCCAGATTAAGAGTTTCGAAAACAAAAGTTTCTTTGAAAATTACTAGCTAATGTAAGTATTTCGTTAAGATCTTATATTCTAAGCAAGCCCTAAGTCTATACTTAAAAAATAGCATAAGTATTATTTTTAATTGTAGTAAACCATGTAATGTACATGGAAGTGAAGAATTTTACCCTGAATTTTATATTTAATAATATATCTACCTAGGTCAAGTAAAAGATTTAGAAACAAACTGTTGTTAGTGCTTCTTCTGCTGTTCAAAACAAACATTCAGCTAAACGCCACCGTTCACTCGTATGTCTGCAGCAAAAATAGTTCAGACTGAACTTAAGCCCTTAAATACCTTTTCCTTTCATACACTGAATACTCGACTTCCCAAGTCCTAGCCACACCAAGACCTTAGGGAAAGCGTTAACTACCTTAGGAGGTAATTAACCTCACTTTCTGATCGTCCTGAAGATGCTTTTTAATACAACTTGGCTCACAAAGGTAGGCATTCTTTAAAAAGCTGAAAAGGTGGGGTTTTGCTTTGTTCCCATGCAGTTAAAAAGGTGTCAATTGAAAACAAACCTAACGATGAGAAATAGATGCAACAACATTTCTGGTAGGTCGTGAACTCTCAAAGTGCGCATGTGTACTTTTACTGTTGTGTATGCCACTTGGCAAAAGCTTCACCCTTCTGTGTGTGCCCACCAACTATGCGATGCGCATACACCTCTGGGACGCTGGCATTAGTCCTCAGAAATTATTTGACATTAAAACCAGGTAAAAGCAGTTTCAAATGCATTTTTGTTTGACTGCTGCTTTTTTTTTTTTGCAAATAATGTTGCCTCTCAACATGATAGCTCACCTCTCTGCTATCAGCCAGCGCCTTTCCCACAAGAAGTCAGCAGTCCAAGCGAACAGAGATGTTCAATGTTTATGACAAGTAGTCGGATGTCGTATAACATGCTGCTCTGTAAGCTCTACATCCAGCGTTATACTGAAATAGCGCCATGTCATGCTGTGTTTGGTGTAGGCTCTGTTAATGTCGCTCATCCTCAGCTGCACACTTTATAACGTGCTCTGGACCAAGTTGCTCAACAGAACCATAAAGTCGATGTTCACGAAAGAAGTTCCTCCTCTCCCACGTTGGGCAAGTCGTTGCATTTCAGATTATCTTCACTGCCTTGTTTCCTGCTTTAAGAGGAAATAAAACAGTTGCTGAGCGACTCAAATAAAGGCAAAGTATACAATGAGACACCAGCATCTGCCCCCTCCCTGCCATGGGACCTTTGGGACCCTGAGCATGTGTCATCTCCCCCCAGCTCCCCTGTAACAGGCTAGAATTGTCACAAAAAGATCCTTTTCAGCCCATCAGAGGGGCAGGATATGCCGTGTCACAAAAATTGTCCCACAAAGCGGTTACGGGTCAGACAGAGGGTGTGTGAATGCCCCAGTCATGGCCCCACACGCAAGATTCAAAGCCCAACTCCTTGAATTCTCCTCCTGTGCTTTGCAGCGATTTCCAGAGCATTAAGGCAAGATGCAAATGTCTTTTCAGGCTGAGGCGAGGTGATGACACTTACGGCAGCAGGTTCCCGGGGGCAGACAACGACCGCTCCTCTCTCCTGCTCCCCTCAAATGGGTTCCCAAAGGATCGCTTCCGGATCATCGTTTTAACCAAGATCTGCAAGACCAGATTGGAGTTCCTCAGGGACGCTTTCCTTTCATTCAAGAGCAGCAGGAA